CAGCCTCTATCTCCTTTTCATGTCCATTCGTCTCCCTAATTATCTATTTCGTCAAATTGCTAGTTATTTTCTGAGATTCGATTTATCTGCAAAATTTTGAACGCATAAATTATATGAAAGGCTCAAAAGTTCAATAAGAGCATAATGAGAATAAACATAGTTGTACTTAGTTTCTCACAACTCCACCTTGTTTTCGAGCACGATCATGCCACCCTTAGTACGCTTGTGCTCATATTCTCACTTTTTTTCTTTAGAAGAGGAGAATAGTCTAGGCTAGCACGATTGTGGTTCAATCAACATGACCCAACTTAAAATGAGCACGATTGTGGTCACCACGTACATGTATATGCTTTTATTAGCCCTCGTCCTCTTACCCCTACATGCCCAAACAATGCGAAAGCAAATTTGTAAGTTGCATATCGCGAATCTTAAATCTAACTAAATAAAGTACAAATTACTTATTTCCTTTAAATATAAAGAATTCAATTGGTGAAACAATTATCACATAATTAAAATTAATTCCATTTGTCAACCTCATGAATGCTAAAGTACCAAATTAGGGTAATATAAGTTAAAGTCTATTCATACAATCCAGCCCATCACAAAAACATACTAGGGACAAGACTAGATATAATCTAGTTATCCACAAAGCTAGTTAATGGATAATTATACAATCCATCACACTTTTAGGGTACTCAAAACCCTCTAAACACATACAATTATAGAACTTATGGGGTTGAGAGACAACCTCAATAATTAAATTTATTCTACATTCATGAGCAAAATAAGTTACTCCTCCTAACTTCGAAAATGTTTCCACAGAGGCAAGGGTGCTAAAGTGTGATTTCCCCCTCCTCTAGTTCTAAGTTCCTTCACATGTGGTTCTAACAACAAGAGAGTGTTCCCAAAAAGAAAGAACAAAAAGAGAGTATTAGGCTAACTAATAACTCTACTTCTTATTTAACCAAGTCTATTGGGCTACTAGTAGGGATGACATCAAGATAGCGCGAGTTCGGGTTTCAATATCCTTATCCCCAAGTTCGTATCATATATCCATCCTCGTCCCCATATTTAACGAGTGTAGAATTCGTATCTCATCTTCATCTTCGTCAGATATTGGATATCGTATTTGTCCAAAAATTAATTATTTTTTTTATAAAAAATATATTATAATAATAATAATAATTCCAACTTAGAGTAACAATTACAAAATTATATTAAATAAGTTTTATCTAACATAACTTTATAATAGAGTTGGAATTATATAAATTTCAAATAAATTCTAAAAAAGGTAAATTAAATTTCTACAAATTTAAAGTAAGGATTGGGATGGGGTCATATGAAGTGGGTAAGTACCTATACCCATGCACAATTTAATAAATCGATATTACTCATACTCGTGTTCAATCAAACATGATATTCTTAACAAAGGCGGAACAAGTTTGGACATAATTCACATGTATAAGTTTATTTGTCATCACTAACTAATAGAAACTAAAACCAAATAACTTAGCTCTCTTTATTTTCAAAGGTCATTTTTATTTTTAACCATTAGTGATGAAATCCAATTAACTTAACTTTTAACTTTAAAAATACTCTAATTAAATAATTTCTTATTTTTGTTTTATCTTTTGAAAACCGGAGTATTACACAAATAAATAAAATATAGTGGTAGACATAACCTATTGCAACAAGTTGCACATCACAATGGTGGAACACAAATCTGTCATGATTAAATCTAAAATAAAAACTTTTAAATTGCTTTTGATTTACATTAGAAAACCTTCTCACAAAAATCACCATGTACATAGATGATTGTATCTAAATGCTTCATCAGAATACTGCTCAAAAATGGTTGCTTAGAAAAGTATTGTAATAATTGTAAAGTTAAAAATATTGTCTTCTTGTCCTCTAAGAATATTTGTAAGCTTAATTTGTTGAAAAAAAATATCATGTAATTCATATAATAATTATGATTGGTTTAATTATTTTATTAATTTAATTATTATTTTTAATAATATAAAGTTATTATAAAATAATAGTCGATTATTTTGAATCATAATAAACATATTTTATTAGTTCTTAATAAAATAATTAATAAAGGATTATTATAATAATATGCATGTGGTGTTTCATTATCTAATGGATTTAAAAAATGACTAAGACTAGAATAACCTCTATTTCTCTAAATATCTAAATACTTTGTTATATATTTAGTATTTTTAATAATAATGACCATAAGTGATACATTTCCATTATTATAAGTTACAACTTAAAGTTATATTTTTTTTTTCTTCTTATATTGATATTTTTCTTACATAATTGTGAAAGGTGAGAAAAACAACCTTATGTGTAAGCATTAGATGTAATTCAAGGAGATTTTAAGGGAATTAGAATAAATTCCCTATATGTATTTTGTTTCCTCTCTATTTAAATTCAATAATTTAACCATCATACACATTAAAAAAGCGCATTAAAAAGATTGACATGAGATTATTCCAATCTAATTAGAGATCTTGAGTGTAAATAATAGTTATGTAGTTGTCTTAAATATTTTAAAAGATAACTATGTCATTTATAATAATTTTATTTAATTCAAACAAAATTATCTTTTATATTACCTGTAGTTTCTAAAAAAAAATAGTCTACTAAATATAAAAACATTTTTCATAGTTTAACTTTGAATTTTAAACTAAATAAATTCTTTAAAATTCTTTAACTCAATTTATTTAATAAATATTACATATGCAAATTAAGGTAATATTGTTTCAACTTAATAGTTTTTAGTTTGAGTTTTAAATAAACAAATTATATACAAAAAAATTTATTATCTTTAAAGTTTAATGAAGTTTTTTCAACTGAACTGGATTGTCCTCTATACATGTTCTACAAAATTAAGAAAAATATTTGACAAATGAATCTAATATGAATATAAGAGGAGTATAGTGTGAATTAAGTCATGATTCATGAACCCTCTCCCAACAAGTACGTTTTTCCGTGCTCTAATCCAACGAGAGGGTACTTTTGTAATTAAACACTTCGGGTTGAGGACAGAAATGTCAATCCAATAATTCCATGGCAATTGCGTAAATACTCACAAGTTGGGTGAAACCCAACTAACTATGGTTCTCCTTTCTTCTTCTTCGATTGATTCGTTGAAATATTTGGGCTAGCTTCGTTGCTTTCTCCGCCACCTCTCCTCCGATCAATCTCCGGCGAACCACCGATCATTCTCCGGTAAGCTTTTCCGACAGCCTCTATCTCCTTTTCATGTCCATTCGTCTCCCTAATTATCTATTTCGTCAAATTGCTAGTTATTTTCTGAGATTCGATTTATCTGCAAAATTTTGAAAACATAAATATACATAGGAATTGTGGAATAGAATATACAAAAGTTTATAAATGTGTGTGTTTGAAATTAACGTGTGAGTAATTGAGGTCGTTGTTTACAATTTTTGTATTGGATCTGATTGATTGGAATTGAGAAGGTAGGGCAGAGAAATTAGGAACAATGAGTGAGGTATTTGAAGGGTACGAGCGTCAATACTGTGAGCTATCAGCGAATCTTTCGCGGCATTGCACTGCGGCTTCTGCTCTTGATGGAGGTAATGCAATCTCTTTCTTCACACACACTCTTCAACACTTTGAGATTATTGATTCTTTGGTCCTGCTGGAAAACTATAGGATCAGGAACAGCGTTGTAAAATCTAATGATCGGGTTGGGTTGACGGGGAATTGTATAATTACTGCACTGCGGCTTGAAGAAATGATAGAAATTTGCCTTTTGTATGATTTTAAAATTGGACAGTACTTGGATGCAATTCTTTAGATGCTTCTAGTGTTGTTTTTTTTCTATTAAAATTAAAATTGGAATGGATAACTTGCACAATTGAAATTGGTGTTTAATAAAAAGTTGAAACTCTAATCTTGATTAGAGGACAACACTTGCACCTAAAGAACTGTTCCTAAATTTAGTCCTTTTAAATTTCTTGTTTTGCTAGTTTCAGCGGATGCAACTATGGGGAAATGAGTGTTGAAGAACCCATGTGATAATTTTTTGGCTTAAATATGTTTTTAATCCTTCAAGTATGAGGTAAATTTATTTTTGGTCTTTCAAATTTAAAATTAATTTTTATTAGTCTTATAATTTGAAAATATCTTATGTTAGTCTCTCTGCTCAAATGTCGTTAATGAATCAATCAAATATTGTCAGACAAAATCTACATACTAGTATCTTTATTAGTAAAAATATTATATTAAATCTAGTTGATATAACATAACTATCTCAATCCATTACTACCAGTTATGTTATTAGTGGCTCAAAGGACTAAAACATATTTCTTTTGAAATTATATGACTAGAAAAATAAATTTTAAATTTAAAGAACTAAAAACAAATTTATCTTAAATTTAATGGAATAAAACATATTAAGCCTAATTTATTTATATATTGAATCATGGATGTAGCTTTCGTTGAAGAGGATTAAGCTTATTTGTTAAGGATGCAATTTTTTTATCACCCCCATCGCACACACCAAAAAAAGAAAAGAAGGAAAATAACTGTAGCTTTCTCCGTCTGATGTTTGCCAGTTACTATTTGTGCTGCAGAACAGAAGAAGCAGAAACTTTCTGATATAAAAGCTGGACTAGATGATGCTGATACATTGGTATGATGGGACTTCTCTTCTCTTTTTCCTCCTGATGTTTGACTCTATTATCATTGCTGCTTGAATATTTTCAGATTCGGAAAATGGACCTTGAGGCTCGGAGTTTGCAGCCAAGTATGAAGGCAGCTCTTCTTGCCAAGTTAAGGGAATATAAAACTGATTTGAACAATTTGAAAAGTGAAGTTAAAAGAGTCACGACATCATCTAATGTCAGTCTCACTGCTCGTGATGATTTGTTGGAGTCAGGAAGGGTCGATACACTGGCGGTATCTATCTTATATATCCTTCCTCAGATATGAATAGATGTCAATGTTATTATTTTGAACTGGGGCTTAGATTACTAATACATGTAAGAAGATGAAGATACTAGGTGGGAGATCCGAGACTTTGACTGGCTGGTAACTTTTATTTGGCTTTTTGGAAGTAAAAGTGGTGGATTGTCTTCAAGCCAAAGTTGACCAGTAATGTCCACATGTATAAAACGTTAGATGACTTAAGTGTTGTATGTTGTTTTTTTTTTTTTTGAGTTGGAGAGAGCGGGAAACATTGCATGATGTAGATATTTTGAATCTCAACTTTGAATTCTTTGATATTTGCAATGAGCAATGAACTATACATTGCATGGATAGATTTGAATATTTTAGCTTCTTTTCATTTATTGTGCATTCTAATAGCTACTTATGGATGCTAGGACAGGTATCAAACGATCAAAAAGGAAGGCTTTTGATGTCTACTGAAAGACTAAATCAGTCCAGTGATAGAATAAAGGAGGGCAGAAAAACAATGCTGGAGACAGAGGAGCTTGGTGTGTCTATCCTCCAAGATTTGCATCAACAACGTCAATCATTACTCCACGCCCATACGACAGTAAGTTTTACCTAAGAGTTCTTAATTTCACTTGGTAATGTATTGGCCCCGTTTTCCTCTAGATGATTTAAAACTTGTTTGGATATTAACTTAGAAAAGCTTTTGGTCGCTTTTTTATTGAAAAAAATTCTTTATTTTTTGCAGAGAAACTTTTTTACATTTTTAATCTTATATCCAAATATACTCTTAGAATATGATAGTCAAGCTCAACTAGCTGATATTTATAAGCACTTCACTACTTAAAATTTCCGTGTGCGGTGACAATATGACCTCAGACATGTCAGATGTGGTTTACCCTATACCTTAGTCCAGGTAAGTTGTCGAGGCTAAAATATTAAAATTTTTTCCCCATTCAGCTCCATGGAGTGGATGATAACATTAGCAAGAGCAAGAAGATTTTGTCAGCCATGTCAAGAAGGATGAGCAGAAACAAATGGATTGTTGGCTCCTTAATGATAGCTCTGGTCCTTGCAATTATAATCATTTTATATTTCAAGCTGACCCATTAGCCTACTATCTTTGCTTCGTATATCACAGATTGGAGCCCAACAATGTGACGGTGTTTGAAGAGTTGTGTGAGCAATGGTTCTCACTTATTTCTCTTATTACATGTAAAATTCTTTCATTTGCGCAAGCGCAAATGAGAATTTTATCATTATGCATTCCTTCGATGCATCATTGTTCAATCAATTCTATGATACTTTATACTGGCCTATACAAAAAATAAAATAAAATAGAAATATTGTCAGTATGCGAAAAAAAAAAACGAAGTGGATAATGGAACAGCAAATTGTTGTTAATAAATATATTTACACGCATTACAAGATTTACATTATATTTTTTTTTAGAGTTTCAAACATGTATTTTTATCACATCATATGTATATCAGTTATTAATCTCCTGTTCATGACATGCGGCATGATCCAAAATAAGAAATGAACGACTTTAAAAGGGATCTGCCTGCTGTAGCATCTTTTGCGGAAGATCAATGCTATACTTTCTTCTATATTATTTTATAAATCATTCTAATAACAATATCAAGTATTAAATGAAAAAACAAATACACTTTATACCTCGAAATATATAT